AAGGTAGAAGGTGTCCCCGCTATTGGATGAGGAGTCGACCGCGCTGTGGCCGGGGTATCGAATACGTGTTTCACATCAACACCATCCAGCATCGTTGCTAGTTTTCGCTATGCACTTGAAGGTTGCCACGGGCTTATAAATTCAGCGATCATTCCCTCCTTCTGTAGGATAAGTAACGTAAAACATGAGGTGGGACATGCGATGAGAGAGTGCGTGAGTTCGTACATGGGACAACTGCGTCGTTACCATTGTACGAAGATTGATCCATGATTTGCGGTGGTGGTGGTGGTGGTGAGGTTGTAGTAACATCAAAGGTGATGCAACGACTACTACTACTGTTTTGCTATTTGATGGGTTTACAAATAACTGTCGTCCAGCAGGGTATCAAAATACACACCCTTTTGATTTGCACACTGCTTGTGTGTGATCGTTGTAAGTTCCTGTAAGTAGGTCGTCCGCGAGGAAGAATTCAGCAGAAGAATGACCAGAAACAATTTTTTATACTTAATCGGAATTTGAGCGTCGTCCAGACGTGGAGCTCCTAATCCCCCGTTGTCTGCGGAGTCCGTAAGTAGAAAAGAAACTGGGTCACGATCTGTGCCTAAACTTCTGAACTAAGGAAGCGATGGTCTATGTCTATGGAGGCAACCTATCACCTTAAATGTGTTTGTACTTCACACATGTCTGGATCCAAAATATGTGCCAGCCAACTTATAGTACAGTAATCTTTATAAAAAAATGGAAAGTTGCACCATTTGCTTATGGGCGGAATACTGTCAGGTTGCCCAGGCCAAGACAGGTGAATTTTCTTGACGACTTCACAACCGGAGCCTTCGGCTAACCGAAGCCTGACCCGCAAGGCAGCGGGGCAGTGTGTGAAAACCGCAATCGATTAGAGGCTAGTGTCCAGCTCATCGGATCATGCACCCTTCGGACAGAGTCAAAAGTCCAAGATGCCCAATCGAGCCGGTGACCACTGTCACAACCGGAAAGGTGTAGGTGTGGCTTTTTACGCCTCCTCTTGGTTGGTTCGGTATCAGGGTTTTTGGCCAACTCCCCTAGGTGAACTACCAGTGGTCCACCAACCCGGTTATAGTCCCCAGATACTGGCTTTTTGTCCTCTCACTTTGGAGAGAGAGAAGCTTCGCCACTAGAAGGCAGTGAGTAGGGCTTCCTCAGCAGCGCCTGTTTGCAATGTTTCGTCGTATGGGAACATTTCGCGAGGTGTAAGGGAAGGGTAGCCAGCTACAATCCAAGGTACCCACCTCGACCGTAGTGGGGCTTTCGGATCACGGTCTTCTAAAATCCAAAATAAATACTCTGATTTGTAAATGAGACAAGTCCTCTCAAATCTTTTAATCTTAACAAATAACATTCAATTTCACCCACACATGCAATTCCTCTCTTTTTGTTGATTTGTTTTCTTCCTCTTCCTAACCGCCAGATTCGCCTAGTACGCAGCCAACCGCTCAGCGCGGAATTGCAGCGTACCCTATCTGTGGAACATGAATTGTACGCTAAATATCAACAAGCTGTCCATGGTGATCAACCGGAAGACTGTAATTTTGAGCAATTCAAACGATTCCTTGTCAAATCTCCTCTCGTGGTCAGTTTCGTTTNTTTTCATCACTTATGCAGTATTCCCTCGTTTTTACTCCTACTTCATGTCAAGCAGTTCTCGTTCCTTAACAGATGTGATTTCCTAAATATCTGGACGGTATTTAACCCCGGCACTGCAGTGCTTTACTCCGGTTACAGTAAGCTTTTGGTAGTCAGCTGTTATCATAGCCTATCGGAGAAGTGCCCCATTATCCTAATAGACCACCAACCCCGTGTATATGATGTCCATACATGGAACGTACCATTGGAATTGGGTTTCTTCGAAAACAGGCTAAACCAAACCATATCGCTCCAGTCTAATTAAAATCTGGAGTACTCAGGTGCCAGTTCCGTCAACTGATCCAGCCCTTTTAGGCTTTCTGGGACAATTATCGAATTGCTTCCGTCACTCGCTCAAACGTGAATTTGCTCTCTCTCTATCCAGTCCTTGGTGTTGGCTTGTAATGCCTTGAACGCTTTGAAACTGTTTCACATTTATGTCAGCATTGGACTAGTTTGATTCATAGAATTTACAATTAACAATAAAGGACAATGAATTGACCGCTGGGCAGAGTATTTTAGTGAACAGCTCAATTTACCTGGTGCTAGTGCGTTTATTTCGGTGATTGCAGCGGAAAATCCTTGGGCGGTGAGTCTCTGACAGAAGTAGAAGAACGAAACTGTATTTAGTCGTTAAAGAAACCGAAGGTATCCGGACCTGATGGGTTTCTTCCCATTCCTTCTAAGCTGGGGAACGAATCTCTCATCGACTCAATTGTTAACTTACTCCGCAGCATTTGGTCGGATGAACGTATGTATCTCTTTATCTTGGGGTGAGTCTTTAATCGTCCACATATTCCAGAAGGGATCACGCAGTGGCTTTGTAAACCGACGCGGGATAAGTTTATTTGCGATTAGCAGAAAAGTGGTACTACCTGACACCATTAAGGAAAATGAATATGCGCGAACGTAGTCTGGCGCGGGCTGGCTGGAGCGAACGTGTAAGGAACTCTGAGTTAAGACGTTGCGTATTTGGTAATGATTCGAGGGTGAATTCGTTGTCCCATCGAATTCAGATTAGTCGGTTTCGCTGTTCAACTATTGTGTATCGCACCGGCTCCAGATTGGAAGAAACCACGCGAAGGTCAAAATATGACGTGGAATCGAGGCCTAGAGAAATGCGCCGAGCCATTAGGTCGGGTATGTATCTCCCGATTTCCAGTTTTGGGTCTGAATGACTCTGCAACTGTTTGGTTGTAGACATTGATGGATATGACAGCAAACCGTCAGCAGTGGCGTTCTTGTTGTCACTTATTAGGTCAGAGTGCTTGCAAAGGTATGCATGCGCAGTTCGGTTGTGCCCTCTGTGTGGAGACCATAGAGGTTAATGTTCTTTGCGTTCCCCCAACTAGGCCCAAACCCCATCCATCTTGTATTTTGTGCTTGCTTCGTGTAGTTGTGAGCTTGGCAGCGATCAGTGAACTTCGCCTCACTGTATCTTGCTGCACGAGAATGAAGATGATGGCGATACTTCAATAACGTGATGAATTTGACCGTACAAAATGTTAAAAGGAATAACCAATTTAAAGTGCGGGAGCACTGTATAGTTAATTTGGACTACAATAGGTCTTGTCAAAAATGTGAATCTATCAACTTCCACTTGTAGAACATCAGCGCGGAAGAGCCGGACGCAGCGAGTCACATGAACCAATGACACTGCGCCATGGGACGTCAACCCCAAACAAATCAATCTGCCAATCATCATCCCGTTGAGGTTGTTCACTCAACTGAACAATTCGAATAGTCCATCACCTATCGACCCGAAACGTCGTTGACTTGAGTTACGAGCACTTAGACAGCAACCAAAACCGGTGCTCGGATGGGTGTGGTTAATGGTTGTACAAACTCAAACTGAAACTAGTTAGTCACCAACTCCTACAACCGATTATCTAAAAACTACCCTCGTCAAATCGCAGTGATTCGGAGTGAATTTGTCATACACATACTTGATCATCTCTCTTGTGCATTGGTCCAGAAACAACGACCAATTAGCGAGTTTTGATCGGCATATCTATCGTATTTCATACTTTGTAGCATTCTCTACCATCCTGGTTCCGCTCTATGTTCGTTTTACAGCCGGATTACGAAACTCGACCTGCTGGTAGTACCGGCCCGGAATTTGGTTCTTATCACCAACAGTACTGGTTGGATGGACGTGAATTGATCGCCATTGGTGTGATCGATTTGCTTCCGCAATGCCTTTCCTCTGTCTATCTGATCTACGATCCGGATTATGCGTTCTTACACTTGGGTACCTATTCCGCTTTAAGGTACGTGCAGTATGCATAATCTTTGCATCCATCTACCTCTCAAACGTTCGGATATCATTCGCCCGGTCAGATTGGTTGCTCAACTAGAACTCTTGTCAGCTTTGATCCATTTGACCATTGTTCACCAGCTTTTGTATTCGTGGACAGTCAGATAATAGCCTGTGAATCCTGTTCACATTTATTTTTATTATTAAACATTCTTGTGTGACGAACAGCGGCTGAAACGACCCCCCCCGCCGCCCATAGTCACGACGACCTGCTGTTCAACCATGGAAACCGGCAGCTTAAGCTCCGGGACTTATATTGGAGAACCGCATAAAACCTCTCCCCACACCCTCTAGGTTAGGCGTCTTACTGAGCTGGACGACAGCGAAACTGCCTACCACCAACAGTCTAAATAGCTCAATACAAATAAATAATGGACAACTAATTGTATTGCCTGTTATCTCTACAACCCAAACAAGCATATCCAGTACGTCATTATTCGATCGGATAATCCATTTAGTCCATTTAGAAGACTGGTATGAGTCATTCGTATTCTGAACAGTTATATAGTTGTTATGTTATGCCGAACTATCACTGAGCCTGGTTTAACGATGCGTATCCCAACGATTCCAGTAAAACGACAGTTG